GTCCCTGATACCCACTCACTATTTCCAGCCAGATCCAAGTCAAGCAAAAGCTTTCTCACTAATGTCACACCAAACCATCAGATTCCAGCCAGCGTCCTCTCAGCACTTAGCTGTGAAGCTACACCAGGGGGCGGTCTGCAGTGCTCCAGGAGGGCACGGATCCATGTTCTCACCATGGCACCCTCACGTGGCACGGCACCCAGCCTACGGCGGGCACTCTGTGGCTATTATTACACTTTAGCGAATGAAGGAAGGAGAGAATCTTACACCAACACCACTGCCCCACATACAGCTTGGCAGTTTCCAAAATGCTCTGAGCTACATCTATTACCCTGTTTAAGCACTTAGTACATCAACTCATAATGGAAGACTGAGAAGGCAACTCATTTTAGTCTGACGTGGTCATTTCGCAGATGAAGAGTCAGAGGTTGGTACTGCAGAAGAGTACCAAAGGATCACATAGCTACCTACCTACCTGGTGGCAGAGTAGAACCCCACACCTAAACCGTGTGTTTTCCATCCCACTCGTCTGCCTTACCCGTCAGGTGTCCTTTCAGTTCCTGAGAGCAGATATTTACTAGGGTCCAACAGAGTTGTAAAACAGCTGCTTACTGTGATGTCCAAAAACCATCTCCAACTTCTCATATTCAAAGGAATTCCTGGGGCCAGCAGATGGCATAGCGATTACATCACTGAACTCCCACATGGCCAACCACAGTTCAAGTCCCAGACTCAGTGGCTTGAAACTCAGGCCAGGCGCATGTGCATGCATGCCCAAGATTCTGGGAGGAAACAGAAGAGAAGGGATTGTGGCATGGCCTTACCTCCTCCCGGGGCTGGTGGGGGGATGATTTCTCACTTTCCCTCTCAATGTCTCTGTCTCTCAGAAATACATGTTTTAAAAAGCACTTATACACATTCCACCTCCCCCCATTTAAGCAATGACTTAAAAAAAATTGTCTAAATTCCTGACTTTAAATCAAGGGACTTGCCTATTACCATGTTTGGAGGGCTTTAGGGAGAGGGGTGGTGGCTACAAAAATGAATGTAGTAACGAGCTGCTTTTACATGTTTGCACCTGACGCAGACTTTGCCTCAGTTATTCAACGCAGTAAGTATTTACTGACTATCTGCTAAATATGAGGGGCAGGGTTAAGGTCGCAGCAGATAAGGAAAATCCAGCTTTGGTTCTAAGTCACAGGGTAGAGGTGTGAGAAAAGTACAAAAATAACTAGATGCAAGGCAGAACATGTTCTGTGCCCTGAGAAAGATCAAACAGACCTAAGGCAAAAACTCTTGCTCAGTCTCCCACAGAATCTGCACACCCCAGGGTCTAGCCCTTCCTTAACTCTAGTTTTGCCCTCTGCTGTATTGATTGCTGTACAGCCGAGTACGTAACAGGGACCTGGGAATGTGGTGACACAGGGACCTGGGAATGTGGACTTCTGGATGTGGATCTTTAATGTCACATTCTGCTACTCACCACCCAATCTTCTGGTGGGAGGGGACCGAAAAGTCCTCCCAGGGTTTGGAAAACAATGGGGCTAATTCAATGCGGGTTGAAGCTGCCACTCAAAGCATTCTACCCTGAAGGCATATACAGCTGGCAGCTTCACAAACAGGACAGGAGAGTGGGAGGGCACCCAGGAGGCACAGCGAGGTGAAATCTGAAAGGATTCCCACAGGCTTTCTCCTTGCTACCTGAAGGACTGAGATCTTGGAGATATATTCTCAAAGGCCATCAGACTTCCCAGAAATGAGTGCAGTTTTTTGGACAAACCACAGAGGCTTGGCTGGAAAGTGCTGTGTGTGAAGGCAGGAGGACCCAGGGAGGGTCACCCACGTGGCCCTGCAGTTAGATGCAAGGAGAGTGCAGGAAGACAGGTAGAGCTACGTTCTGCAATCAGTTATTCTGTTATCCAGATGGGTGAGGTGAGGACTGTAAGGGAGACAGAGAAGGAAAGCAGGAAGGAGCCAACACTGTGAGAAAAAGAGAGAGGGGGGAAGGTGAAAGACCATTTTAATGTGAAAAAGTGATCACTAAAGACAATGAGGAAGGGCTCGGAGGCAGGATCACAGGCTGCTGGGCAGGAGTGTGCCCAGGTAGACCTCAGAATGGGAGGGTTATCATGAGGATGAGTTCCTGTCCGGATGAAAGGGGTTCCTTTTATGGAAGCCAGGCACATCAGAAGGTCACTAGATGAGGGGGTAATTAGAAGGTTGACATGGCAGCAAAGGGGGAGGCTAGAGCGCTGAGATGGATGGGATCGTGGGATCAAAGACTACTGGGCTGGAGGGTTTCAAGGTATATGGATACCAGGATTCCTAGGGGTAAGGGACTGAACAGGAGGCAGGGATTTGGGGCAAAGTGTCAGCAAGGTGGGAGACACCTTACGGGGAATGAGGACTCAGACTGAGAGGATACCTGGGCGAAGGTTGAAGATACGTATGAAGATTGATCAGGTTTCAGGACACGCTACCCTAAAATGCGGCAAACTGGGGGCCAGCAGGTGGTGCAACACTGCACTCCCACAAGACTGGTCATGGTTTGAGTCCCAGGACCCCATGCCTTGAAAATCACAGTGAGCACATCCGTGTGGCCAAAATCTCAAGATCTCCAGAGGAGAATGGAGAAGGGATTGCAGTGTGGCCACTGGGGTGGGAGGCGGTTTCACTTTCCTTCTGTCTCTCTCCAGCAAGCATATGAACCCTATGGCAAAAACCTAATAAATACATACAAGTAAAAAGGCGGCATTTGAGAAAATGATGGGAACAGAAAAGTTATTGTCTTTACCCTTGCACCGTGAAGCAGATCATAGGAAGGATTTTTTTTTTTACTTTCCCTTAAGCAGGTCAAAAGATGTTGCCAGAGGTACTCTTCTCCTGAAACCCAGAAAAAGGAGCACTGTTCTCTGGGAAGACACAGGATCACAGAGAAACATGTGACAAACAGGTCTTCCTAAGTTTCCCCCAGTTTATCCCCATTGGATTTTATCCTTTGATGCCCTACTGTATCTCTCCAAAACTTGACAAACCTAGCATAAAAATACACAGGTTTAGGGCCAGCTAGTGCATGGAGGTTGAGGTAGCTGATTCCCCACGGCCAAGTGTGCAGTTTGAGTTCCAGACTTGGCAGCTTGAAAAAAAATGCCAGAAATGTGTGCACGTGTCCAAAATCCCCAAAGGAGGGAGAAGTGGAAGGGATGGGAGTAGCAAGACCATCCCCCCTGGGGGTGCTTGCTTGCTTGCTTTCTCTCAGGTAAGCACATGCACCTTCTGACTAATTGAAAAAAAAACCAAAAACAAAAACAAAGGTTTGGGCCAACGGGTGGCCTGGTGCTTAAGACACTGGATCACACATGACCAACTTCACAGTTTAAGTCCCAGATACAAAGGTTTGGGTCCACAGGTGGCCTGGTGCTTAAGGCACTGGGTCACACATGACCAACTCCATGGTTCAAGTCCCAGACCCGGCAGCCTGAAAAACATGTGCATGCATGTACAAAACAAGAATGGAGAAGGGATTGCTGCGTGGCCATCTCCCCTGGGGGATGATCTCTCATTTTCCCACTCTGTCTCTCTCTGGTGAGTGCTCCCACTCTGACAAAAGATCTAAAAACAAAAAATATAGGTTTAATCATTTTGAGAAGTTTTAATTTCCTTGAGATTCCTGTCTCCCATAAAACTTACATTAATTTGCATGTCTTTTTCTTGTTACTCTGTCTTTTATTACAGGGACTTCAGCCAGTAACCTAAAATAGATGCTTGCTTTCCCCTGCAAGGTGCAGGGGTCTCAGAGGATATGGAGTCAAAAGCCATGAACAAGAGAATGTTACCAAGCCAGGAGGCAAAGAATAACAGAAATCTGGGACCAGCAGTTGGAGTAATGGCTATGTCACTGGACTCCCATGTGGTCGATGGTGGTTCAAGCCCTGGACCCAGTGGCTTAAACTCACGCCAAGCACATGTGCATGTGTGCCCAAGATCCCGAGAGAATGGAGGAGAGGGGACTGCAGTGTGGCCATCCCCCTGGGGCATGATTTCTCACTTTCTGCCTCTCTGTCTCTCTATGTCTTTCTGGCGAGCGCACGCACCCTATAGCAAAAACCTCTAAAAAAAAAAAAAAGAATAACAGAAATCCTGGAGGTCAGGCAACAGGTTGATACTAAATTTAGGAATTACTAAAAAATAAGGAACAAGGGGCTGAAGTTGATGTGGAAAACCAAGTAGGTTTGTGGAGAAGTGAGGCAATGAAGTTTTCTAAAGACTGTGTGTTCAAATCCCACTCCTACTCAATTGTGTGAGCTTTAGGTTTATTTAAAACTAAACCAAAACAAAAAAATTGGGAAGTGCAAAGTGCTCTTTGGTTTGTTTAGAGGTAAACTAACATACATACAAAGCATGGCTAGCAACAGTTCCTCAGTAAGCCAAATTATTATTATTATTTAGGTGGCATCAGGGTAATGAAGGGGGTGGGGCGGGGCAGTGCAGGGCACAGCAGAGATGACAAAAGAATGGGGATTCTGGGACCAGCAGATAGTGTACCGGTTATGTTGCTGGACTCTCACATAGTAGACTACAGGCCGAGTCTCAGACCAGGTGACTTAAAACTCATTCCTCTCAAGAGGAAAATGGAGAAAGGACTGCAGAGTGGCCATCTCCCCTGGGGGATGATTTCTCGCTTTCTGTCTCTCTCTCTGGCCAGTGCACCCTATAGCAAAAATCCCACCCTCCAAAAAAAAATTATGGGGATTCCAAGATGTCAGTAGCAGAAAGATAATGCAAGGTGAGGGCCACATGCTCACTGGCTGTTGAGTCCTCAGCTCCACAAGAGCGTTCGGATGGTAACAGCTTGTCATGTGACAAGCTTGGGCTCCAGGGCTTTGCATGTGTTGTCTCAGGCACCACTGTCATTCCCTCTTACTACAGGGGGAGAATGCAGGTTCAGACAGGATAAATGGTATGCCGAAAGTTCCACAGGTGAAAGGTCAGAGTCAGACCTGAACACAGGGTTCTTCTGACATCACTGCCCCAAGGTGAACGCCGTGAATGCACTCTGCTAGACTTGAACGGATGCGGCCTGATGAAAGGATATGGGCACACTACTAAAACCTGTAAAGGACCATGGGAATGAGGAAATAAGATTCACGAAGCAAGCAGACCGAGGGATTAGGTTGTAAGACTGAAGCTTCTAGGGTGGCTTACAAAAATGATTGCCAACAACTATTATTTAGACTGAGAATTGTGGAATTTCATAGCTGGATGGTGGCTCAAGAGATCAGCTAACCCAACCCTGTAACAATAATGATGAGAAATTGAGACCCAGCGTGAAGGACTTCTCCCAGGTTTACAAAGCACAACAGAGGCAGCGCTAGGACTCGAACCTGGGACCACACACTTAAACCAGAATTCTTTGATGCCTCTGGTTTGACTATTTCATATTCATTTCTATATCCACTTCAGTACCAGAATGTGCTGAAACTTTTAAGTCATGTGCTGACTGACAATGGAGGCCCCTGGGTGCAGAGGAATGCCAGTGGGGGTGATTTTAGGATGGAAGGAGAACATGGAATGAGGACCACAGGGTGACAGGAAAAGATGCTGGGGGTTATGTAGAAGAGTGGGGAGAAATCACTGAAATATGGTTTAGGAGTTGTCAGGAGAGGTTTGATGGGAGTCAGCAAGTTTGTGGGGAACACAGGTAGAGTTGGAGGAGTTACTGGGTCAGTGGGGTCACTGAGGTTTGGGGGTCAGTCGATGAAGTGTGGGGATCCTGGGGTCACTGGATGATAACGGAGGGAGTCACTGGGTTGGCGGGACCCTAAGAAGTGCGGGGGAAATTCTGGGTGAGCAATCAATGGATGGGAAGGGAGGCGTACCTGTGAGGTCTCGGGGTCAGTGGGTGGGATGTGGGGGTCACAGAGGTGGAGGCGGGCGCAGTCCCGGGGTGGGGTCTGGGAGTCATGAGGGAGGAGTCGCAGGGCGGAATGAAGGGGCAGGGACCCGAGTGGGGGAGGGGGAGGGCCGCCGTCCAGAGGCCCGGTGGCCCGGCTGGGGTCACAGGAGGGAGGCAGTGCCGGCTCGGGACCTTCCCGGGGCCCTGCGCCCGCCCGGCCTCCCGCCCTGCGCACGGTGGACCCACTCTTCCCGCAGGCACCAACCTGACAGCCCCCGAGGGCGACTCCGCCGACAGACCGCCATGCACCGGGCCCCGCCACCC